GGGGGGGCTGTTAGGAGTCATGTTTCCAGCTTTTCTCTGCAGTCGCAAGTTTGGCTCTGATGTGATTTTCATTCAAGACCAAGCGCCTCGTGTAATCCCCTGACTCTTGCAGCTGGGGCTGTAAGAAAAATAACAGCTCTCTGAGGACTGAATCATCAGAGCTGCCAACCTTGGCCAACCTTTTCAGGCTGGTGAAGAAGGGATAAGGATGCACTTAAGAACGCTACTGAATTGGAGTTGGGAGCTGGTGAGTTTCTTTACCTGGGAGTGCTTCACCTTGGGGATTCACAACCGTTGCTGTGACACAGGGGTCTTGCTGTGCTCCTCAGTGAAATCCCCATGCTGGGAATGGAGCAGAATACAGGCACTGTCATGTCTTGCTGAGGACCTGAGCGACCCTCCCTTCCTGCTGGGGCCATAGCTGTCCTTGGGTTCTTTGCCAAGAGATGGGGCTTGGCTTGGGTAGGTGCTTGAGCATGAGCAAAACAACAACAGTACCCAAAGCTTGATGAATTTCATCAAGTTCAAAACGTTTATCCAGTAAATCATGCCCGATTTGTGCTTGTGTTCCCTTTGCACCTTTTCCATTGACAGCTTGCTTTCTTATCACACCAGTAATACTGCTGTGAGAGCGCTGTGTTTCCCAAAGAAGTAGGACAGGACTGCTCCATAGCTGTCCTAGTTCCCTTATGCCATGTGTTGTGTCCAGGTCCTGTGTGCTCCACATCATACCTCAGCACAAGTGATGTCACTCAATCACACACTTCTCCTCCATGTAAGAGAGGGCAAATGGCATCAGCAGTTCAGACTGGCTTTGATATCAGAGAGAAGGAAGTACAAAGCCTTCAGTTTACAAGTGCATATGATATCTGTAGGTGATGAAAAAGAACCATCTGGGATTTGTCAGAAACGAATCATTCCAAATCAGACCAATTTTTTTTTCTTTGACAGTAACTAGCCTAGTGGAAGAAATAGATGTGAAATGTATTGACTCGAAGGCTCCTGACACAATGCAACAGGATGTTCTCTGAGCAAACCAGGGAAATAAGCCCTAGGTTTCCTAAGATGACAGGGGTGCCAATAGGTGTAGGACTATTCTCAGTGGGCTCTTAACAAGCTTGATGTCAAGCCAGAAGGGCTGTTCAGATAGATCTGTTGCAAGACTGACCTTCTTTGGGTTTTGGTTCCTATTTTACAGAATGAAGGGGGATGATTCCATGGCCAGTTGGAAGAGAATGAAAACTCGTGTAGCCTTGGTAAAAATGCAGAAGTGGTCTGAAAACAGGAGGGTGAAGTTCACTAAGGAAAAACACAACAATTGCAATGTCCTGGTAAGTGGTACTTGAGTCTAGGGGGTCAGCTAGGGCAGAATGGGAAGTAGAGATCTCCAGAGGTCCCTTTCTATGAGCCTATGAGTCTTTCTAAGTTTTTTCTATGATTGTTATCTATGTCTATGATCTTATCTGTTTGTGATAATGGCTTAGCTGGTTGCTTGCCAATGTCAGCCATTCTGAGCCAAAGTAATGACTTAATTTACAAGAAGCTCATGGGAGAAAGAGAAGGTGGGATATGTTGAAGCCATAGATTCTTCAGAGAAGATAACAGAGGAAACACCAGTGCACGTGAAAAGGAGCAATTCTCCAGTTCAAGCAGTCTGGCTGCAGGTTTTAATTTCCCTTCCAAAGGTAATGATCCTGATCACTGCTCTTTAACCAACCTCATACAACATGACTAATGGCACCCCTTGCTTAAAAGGCAACGAGTCGATGTAAATGAATTCGTTAATTTAAAAGGAGATGTTTTCTTGGCTTTGGCTCTTATGACTTTTAACCTCTTTTCTCTGTTTGGGTGATGAATATCACAGAGTTTGTTGGAGAGTCCCATCTGTAGCTCTAGATCCCCTTTTCCAGGATGCACATGGCTGGATAGAAAATATTCTTCCCAGAGTCATGGTTCTCCTAGGAAGAAGTAAAGACATTGTCAGTAATGGAACATATTATTCAGGAGTCCTATTTCCTCCCTCCCACAGTGTCCAGGTTGATCCTCAGGGACTGTGTAAGAGGAGACAGTGTTTCTCAATGGTCAGGATCCACAGGCTGCAGCCAGGGTAGCCAAAGCCTCCACAAGTTCCTGTGGACACAGGACACCATGAGGTTACTGCCTCAGCAGGTAGGTTAGAGAAGCACAAGTTCAGTCATCTGCACTTTATTTGGGCATGAGAAAGGCCCTACAGACGGGTTTAGCGAGTGGCTCGAGGTGCTGGGTGAGACTTATGCTCATACATCAGGTGCGGTGGATCTGGATCGGCAGCCAGATCCACCTGTATCCTGTATTTTAGTGGGGTACCCCATCTTAGCAGCAGGATTAGACAGAAATGCCTCTACCTATGGGATCTATGATGTCACTGTGCTAATGTCAGAGTGATGTAATTGACCCTCATGTAGGAGGCTGATACAAAGGCATACTCTTTCTCTCAAGAGGCAAAGATCCTTGATCCCTTTGTGAATCCCTTCTTCCTATTGAAGATTTCCTGCCCTATTAATTAAAAAAATCCCCAGCAAGTACTTTTTTGTGTGTGTTCTTCATCTTCTCTCTTTCATTTGGCTAAAAGAGAACAGAAGTCAGTGAATTATCTGAGGCTTCAAATCAAATTTTGGCTAACAGCTTATTCTCAATTCCTTCCCCCACACTGTAGGTTTAATCTCCCATACTCTCCAGGAGCAGAAGAGCTGTAGCACTGCTCCATCACCATGCCTGGTCCAAAGGGAGTTCGAGTGGCATGTCCCTCATTGTGGCTCTCAAAGACAGTTCAGCCAGGTTGGAGTACATCAAAAACTGGGGGTAGCAAGAAAAGTCTTGGTAAAGTTTTGCTATGGGACTTTTTCTAAGGCTTTTGTATTCTGCTCAAATAGGATTTTTCTTCAAGCAGAGAATGCTCCACCACTTAAAAAAAAGAAAGAAGATAAAGGTCAGGCCAAGCCTCTGCATGGATGAAATCCCTGGAAGAGCCAGTTTCAGTCTGCGGCTCACACGCTGCATTTGCCTGACTAAGCTGCAGCCTCTCCTGCCTGCTTTTTGCACTGGTCTCAGGAGCTTACAGTGAGTTTCTACAGACAGCAGGTGATGTGACAGAGCCCAAAGTCCTTGAAGGGAGCGTTTTGCTCGGGCTGGAGACCAGAGGACACCTCCTTTGCTGTAATTACTTAATTAATACTCTGTGCAGGCATCCAGCAGCATGAAAGCAAGCAGGTGTGAGGTTGCAAGCTGCCCTGCGGAGCGCCTTCCCATTAACATTCACTTGGCTTTCTGCAGCGGGAAGTGAAAGAGCAGGGCAGATAAAGCATAATTAAAGGGCCATTCATTCAAATGTTACATTTCCATCTCCTCGAGTGCTATCAGGAAGGCTCTGGCCAGGCGCAGGGTGCCAGTGATTTGATTAAACGTTCAGCTGTGCCTGCGTGCCGTGTCTCTGTGTGTTGGGCTGTGGCTTTGCCCTCACAGATATGTGGGTCTGGGAACTAGACCTGACCATCCAGCTCAGCATTGGGCTTATCCCAGCCAGCACAGGGACAGTGTGAGAGCAGCCCCTCCCAAACCATCCATAGAGCCTATCCAGAAGAGAGGGTTGTACCCTGCCACCCCCCACAGGGCAGAAATGGGGCTGGTTGTGCTTGTAATCCCCCTGCAGTCCGTTCCTGCTGCTGCTGGCCCAATTCCACCTCTTGTGAGCAAGCTCCAGAAACGTTTGCTGGGTGCTGTGGCTGCAGTAACTGCAGGCACAGCAGTGTCCTGATGGCACTGAGCTCTGGGTTGCTAGAGATTGCGTCTGAATTTCTCCCGAGCTGATCTGCTGGAGCATGTCTGGTTTGCAATGACTGTGTGCTATCTTTTCTTTTTTCCAGCTGTGATGGCTCTGTCTGCTCAGGTCATGGCCTAAAAGGTGCCTTTGTGGTTGTAACTGGCAACTGCCAGTGAATCTCCCCAGCTATCAAATCAGAAAGAGGTCCGAAAACAAGCAAGCACCTGCCTGGCTGTGTCAGGACCTGGAGTTGTTGCTTTCTGCTGAGTAAAAGACAATGTGGGAATTTTCCTACCTGCAGAATATGTTTTCCTACCTACAGGCTACACTGCAAAGATGTAGGTGAAACACAACAGAAAGCACAAGACAGCAGAGCAAGATCCTTGGCTACCGCAAGCACTGATCCACTCAAACGCAACAGCAGTAGGAACTAAAAGAAGAGAAAGAAATTGCTTACCTTTGAAATGCCTGCAAGGTCCTCAGGTATGTGGAGATCATCAGATATCATATCAGGTATCCTCACCTCTATTGCCAGCCCTTAAGTGAGGTCTGGGAAGGAGTGGATCCTAGCTTCACCCCTCTGGTTTCTCAGGTGCATTGCTTGTACCTCTGGGTTGGCCCTCCCTTCCCACCAGGCACTCAGTTACTGCTTCAAGCCATGAACCAGCGTGTTGCTCCAAGAGGAACAGCCCTATGCATAGCTGGATTAGCAGAAGCCACCTGTTGGTTTCCATCTTGCTGTCATCTCCAAGAGAATACAGCTTCTGCTTGGAAGTGGCAGCTAGGCACTGGGTATCTTCCCTGGAGACATCCAACATGTGCATATGCTTCCTGCCTTAGAATCATAAAATCATGATATTAAGGTTGGATAACCTAGATGATCTCTAAGATCATCTAGTCCAACTGCCAACCCATCCCAACCTAACTAAACCTTTAGTGCTAACTAAACCTTTCCCTACCTCACCCCCTGGGGACCAGAGTGCCCCAGAATGCCACCAAGGCATCTCAACGTACAGGCCTCCAGCAGGACAGGGCAGATTTATTCTCTTTGTCTGTGGAGGTCACTGCTTCTAAACCAGGTGGTTGTGTTTTGCTTTTGAAGGTGCTGGGGAATGGACACCTGTGGAGCTAAACTGTGTGACCTGGTTCATCCCTCACCAGTGATGAAGCTTTCATTGATGACTGCTTTTTGGTGGTGTCCAGCAAGGAGCTTGGGCTGCTGCTGCATCATGCCAGCTCCAGCTCTCACTGCAGGGGAACACTGTCCACATCCTCCACCATGTATTTCTACCCAGATCAGGGAAAAGTTTGGTGAGAAGGGAATGGGACCATTTTCAAAAGCATCTAGACCTCACTGCTTTAACTGGAATTCTTTACTGACAGTTCCACACATCTAGCAGGTCATTGAACCACAGGTACCTTGAAGCACAGCAAAACGTGGTGGTGGTGGACCTGGATGAGGGAGAATTTGCCTGTTGTCTCCAGAGTTAGTGAATTTCTGCCAAATGTCACTGGCTCTCCTATGTCCAGCTCACACCCAGCTAGATGATGGCTTCTCTCCAGATCACCTCTCTGTAAAACTCTAAGTCTTACATCCTAGAAATATGAAAATGACAAGCATCCCTTGGTGCTGGTATATAAGAAATACAGCAAAAACACGTTGGGTAGCCATGAGCTCAGAGCAGCACAACATCTCCAAGCCCAAGAACCAGTTCTGTGGTGCTCCTGGCTGTGCGCTGCTCTGCAGATGGGCAAGCTGTACACTCCCATTTCTCCTTCTTCATTTTAATGTTGCCTCTGTTTCTGATGTGGTGAGTGAACACAGTCAAATCCCTCTCCCTACGCTTAGGAGCAGGTGGAGGTCAACCCTCCAGGGTGCACAACCACATGGTGATCTCCATCAGTGTCTCCAGGTTCACTGACCTGAATTATAGGCAAGTTGCTAACAGATGTATCAGACAGAAAATAATCCTCTTAAACTCTCCAGCTCACCAGCCCTACTCTTGACTATCCCAACAACCTCCTTGTGATCCCCTCTGCTTTCCCTGCCAGATTTGTGTTGCCTCCTCTGTCTGCCTGGGCAGATCTAGCAGCACTATATGCACACAGGCATTGGGGTCCTGCCATGCCAGACCTGCTCACTCAGGGAAAATGCACAGCTCCTGCTCCAATTGCATAGTAGTCAGCATCTCTGTAAGCAATCCAGGGGCAAACATAGATGTGGGGTGGCAGAGGACACCAGGAGCTTGCCAAGGACCTCATACATTGCAACAGACAGAAGAAGAACTGTTAGACAGTTCTGGAAGCAGCGTGCCTGTGTCAGCATGATAAGCTCCCCCAATGGGGGAGCAGGTTTGTAAGAAGGAACAACACTGTTCTGGCTTTGCTTTGAAGCTTCCAGACCCTCAGAGAGCTCTGAGGGAGGCATTACCCAGTATTACGTGGAGCAAACAAACACCACGTCTTTACAGAAGCCCTGTTTTCAGGATGGCAAAAGACCTGGGCAAGTGAGATGCCTTTTCCTCTTGTTTCATAAGTCCAGATGCAGCACTGATTGAAGCCACAACCCTTGCGCCCTAAATACAGTTTATAATAAATGCAGAAGAGCTTTAAGTGTAAGCACATTCCCTCCAAGGCGAAAGCTCTCAGCCTGCTCAAGTGATCCCCAAATAAAAAGCAGGGCAATAATGGGCTGGATGAGTTTGCATCAGGCACAGTCAGCTCGGTAATGAATACCTAGGGAAGCATGAGCATGTTAAACAGGGCTCGCTTATGCTATATGAGGTCACTATTACATGCCCTTCATTATCAGAAACTTGTAAAAGGCATATGCCTCTGCCTAATGTGAATTAAGGGGAAAAAAAAAAGAAATGACATTTATGCTTCTCATGGAACTATCTTTTGCTACCTAAAGAAGCATTCTTTCAGCAAGAACTTAGAAAAATAATGAGCAGGTGACTCTCCTTGCAATTTCTTGACATTTATTCCGAATGTCCTTAACTGCCTCATTTCCCCGCACTGACAGTAGCTCTCAGCTGCTCCAAATGGGCTTATATCCAAAGCTTTTCTTCCCAGGATCAGACATCTCACAGAAACCCTGCAAGAAGGAGTTTGAATGGGACAAAGATTTCTGTTCCGCATGCGAGCTGCTGGAAATGTGTGGTGGTTCTGAGCTGCTCTTCAGTGTCGCTGGTAGGCAATGTGCACAGCCCAGGCAGAGCTCTGCAAAGAGAATCTCAGCCCCCAGCTCTGTGAGGTGCCAGGACTTCTTCAAGCTCAGCACTGCAAAATGTCTACGTGCACCCAGTATGTGGATCCTGTGCAGAAGAGAAAAGCTAGTACCAGAAACAAGCAATGGATTTAATGATGAAAAATGATTTGGTTTCGTGGGCTCGTTTTTTGGCAGCATTTCAGTATGGTTTCACAGAACGTCATACGGTCAAACCAGACAACTTCCAGCTCCATCCTCTTTCTACACCTTCTATTGACTTTCTATAGAACTTCACAGTGTGAAGAAGCCACACTGTGTGGCTTCCATGCCCATGTATTTTCTCTTACATTTTGACACAAGAACGTAATCATTAGTAGTGTGCTATTGCTCTGCCCTTCACTCCCAGCAGGTGCAAACTCCAGCCTGCAGGTCCCCCGAGGCTCTCTGCCATTCAACCCTCCAACCCAGTCACCTAAGTCTTCATCCAGAAAGATCTGACTCACCATCAGCTGCTTCTATCCTAAAAAACCTTCATGTGAAAGCGTGGACCATTCTTATCACAGAATGATGGAGGTCAACACGGACACCTCCTTGGTCCATATGGACCTCTGGGTCCATCTGGTCCAATCTCCCTTCTCACACAGGGACACCCAGAGCAGGCTGTCTAGAACCGTATCCATGTCATCCCTGCTTCAAGCTTGCTAAAACTGACTCCACCATGATGGCTTGCCCTAAACCTTATTGCTCCCCAGACTCAATCCCCAGAGCTTTCCCATCCTTTTGTGTTCCCTGGGAGAGCTCAGATCTAAATCCTCTGTGGCCAGTGTACTGCTGCCCACTCTGTGCTAAGTGCCAAGTCGTGACCTATTCTGCCCCTAAATTCTCATGGTCTGGTGTGCTCCAAACAACAGGATAGATAGCCATAATCTATTCCTTGCTGATCTCTGCAGCCTGCTGAACTGACCTGGAGTGCTCACGCAGGCTGTTCCCTGGAGCCTATTTTTTTTTTTTTTTTTTTTTTCATTAAAGAAACAAAATAATAATAATAAAATAAATTTTAAAAAAGCCCTCTCTACCCCATCAAGTTCATTTCAGTGCCTCTCAGTAAGAAGAGCCACAGCAGCCTCAGCACAGACCTGGCCTAAGGAGAGAGAAAAACAGAAGGAAGAAATGAAATGTGATAAGAAATAGGAAGAAAAGAAAGAAAGGAGGAGGGGATGGACTTGTCTGCCTAAAAGTTGAATTAGCAAGAACAGAGCAGAGGAGCTGTAGATAAGGAAATAGGTTTTTAAAAGAAGGGAAAACCAAGAAGAAAGATGAAAGGGAACAAATACTTTTGTGAAACATTTGTAAAAAGGATCAACAGATACCCATGGAAATTTAGAAAATAATAAAGCAAGAAATACGAATAATGTGATGTGAATTGATTCATTGCACTTGATAGTCGTGAGATTTTCTGACTTATCGCCTGAAACGTGTTTTCTGGAGGCCAGGATTCATCTTTTCAAGCACGTCTGTTCCTGCTTCTTGATGATGCTTGAGTGGCTCCTATGCTCAGAACATTTCATCATCTCCACTTCAGTCACTGAAAGCATCCCAGATGAGAAATCCCCATCTTCCTTCTTCCATCCTTCTTAACCCATGGGAGGAAAGAATTGCAACTGGTCACAGCCTTGGGAGACTTTTGCTCCAATAGGTCAGCTGACAAAGGACAGCAGCAGTAAAAATGCTCCAGATTGGTTCTGTCTTGGGTCTCCAAGGATGCAGCAGGGTGGCTTCAGCCGTTTGGTTTTAGAAATGGTGGATTTCAGTTTCTCTCCTCATCACCAGCAGAAATAGTACAGGGAGGTCAGAGAGTTCTGTGCGTGCATGTAGCTGTGTGTAGAGGTGGGTGTTCAGGCCCTGCCAGGCTCCAGATGGTGCAGTGGTGGCTGTTTTCCAGTGGCAAGGATTCAGATATTGACCCAAACTTTGTGCCCTGTGCACATGAACCTCTCAAGTACTCAAATCAGAGCTGACCGCCCAAGAAATATTTGCTCTGATGTCTCTGGGGGACGGATGCCCTGCTCTGCTGCTCCTCAGCCCAATTCTCTTGGATCAAATTGGTTTGCTGTACATGGCTGCTGATACTCTAGAAGAACAACAGGCTGATCCATTGGTCGTGCTGCTCTGTAACAAGAAATGTGCGTGCTCAGCACACACAGCACAGCACAGGGATGTTGGCCTGAGTCATTGGTGTCATTTGTTCTACCTTGGCCACCATCAGGCTCAGTCATGCAGGCAGGTTCCTCTGCAGAAAGCAGCTGGGGGAATTGCTGCTGGAGAGCAGGGACTGTGGTTTGCATCCAAATTTCCCAGCTTGCTATTTGCTCCTAACAATGAAATGCCCTCTGGCACTGACACAACTGTTTTCTGACAAATTGGACATTATCCTAAATACTTTGTTCTTAGTTAGGATTGCATTAGTGGGATCAATTTGCTGCTAGCTGTGGAAGCGACCAGTAGGTGCTTGCACGGAGATGGAAGGTACATGGATTTTGAGAGAGAAATCCCATCTTTCTTTGCTACTTACCCAGATTACCAAGTGTTTTTCTGTTTCCCTTGTGAGAGCCTGGACAACCTGATAGTTCTTTCTCTTCTGTCCTTTTTTTTCCTCCTTTTCCCTTGATAGAGCCCTGCAGCCTTGAAACAAGATAAAGCAACTCTCCAGGAGCCACAAACGTTTGTAAATTTAACTCCAAGCTGTTTGGACTATTTGCAGGCCTTGAGTCGACCCTCCTGATGGCAGCATCCAGAGTCCCTGAAACAGCAAATGAGCAGCATGTCTGCACCACGCACCAGCTGGGGATTTGCTTCTGTGTAAGCCAGTGGAGGTCCTGAGCCCATCTGGGATGATGAGGCCAGAAAGTGAAAGCTTCCTCATGGAGACCATCCTGGATGCTGCTCAGCTCCCCTCTTGCTCCTTGCTTCCTACATCTAAGAAGTCCTGAATATTGTATCTTATGCTCGCAAATTAATTTCAATTAATATTTTTCAATTAGCTCTAAACACAAAGGATGGG